TGCAAAAACTATGAAAACAGAAATGGGAGTGGGCTCTTAAAACAGCAGACTCAGTCATAAGCCACTTTCCAGAATAAAAGTGCTATCTGAAAATAGGGAAAGGCAATTTGGAAATTCTGGAGAGAGAAATCCACAAAGCCTCTTCTCTTCCGCAAGGGGAGGGGAGGGGTTGCGAGCGGGACTCGCTTTGCAGGGGGGCGTGGTTGGCCCCCCCTGCGTCAGTAGGAGATCCGGGCCCGCATCACGCCCTCAGCCAGCCAATCTGGCTAGCTGGGGGGCATGGTTTTGCTGCATTTAAAGCAGCCCCAGGCTCAGCCTGTTTGTTCCTGCACACACATGGTAGTGCCAGTGTGGTGTAGTGGTTAAGAGCGGTAGTCTCGTAATCTGGGGAACCGGGTTCGCGTCTCCGCTCCTCCACATGCAGCTGCTGGGTGACCTTGGGCCAGTCACACTTCTTTGAAGTCTCTCAGCCCCACTCACCTCACAGAGTGTTTGTTGTGGGGGAGGAAGGGAAAGGAGAATGTTAGCCGCTTTGAGACTCCTTAAAGGGAGTGAAAGGCGGAATATCAAATCCAAACTCTTCTTCTTCTTCTGCTGCCGCCACCAATAATGCCCTGTGGTGTTAAGGCTCAGGCAAGTTACATATGAGTGTAGAGAGAGACTGTCCTTGAGGTAGCCTGGTCCCTGCATATTGTTCCAGCAGAATATTATAATGCTTTTTATAATTGCCCATATGTTAATTTTCAAATTAAGCTAGTGACTTTGTAAAGGAAAAGAAACTGGGCGTTTTTTGTGTTTTTTTTTACTGTCCAAAAGTGTCAACTTTGTGTCTCCTTATTCCAGGGGAAGACAAAATTCTTAGTTCATGCTAACCTTGTGTTTCTCCATGATATCCCCTGATGCTTTGTTAATTTTTGTCTTGGCAGTTCTGTGCACCTAAATCCCATACTGAGATACAAATGCACGGATGCTGTGGCTGTAAGGTTATACGAATGTCTTCTTTTGACACTTCACTTTTCAAAGTGAGCTACAGTCTAATCCCTTAGTTAATATGGTGCATGAAAACAGATGATACACTGATGGGTTTTATATATGTATGGGGATTTTAAAACTGTGATAGAAACAAAATCCAGAGATAATAAGAATTATAAAGTTTCGCGACCCTACGAACACAATTTTATGTTGAGTATCTCATAAAAGCAATTTTTAAAAATCCTACTTTATATGAAAATAGGAATCGTGAAAGAAATTATATGTTTTACTAAAAAGACCCACTGAGAGTAGTGGTTTTGGGTGTCTCGGTTTCTGGATTAGCAGTTTAAATAACCTCAAAGAGACTTGAGAAAGCTTTCTAAAAATAAAGTTCCTTCAACATATCTTATATCACTGAACAACTGAGATATCTGTGGTCACCTTTTAAAAATCCGAGGGGAAAGTTGTGCATCATGAAATTATTGTGCACATGTGGAATTTTGTAAGGAATATAGACACATATTAACATATGGAATATAGAGAGACACACACATATATAAAAAGCTTTGTAACAGCTACATTTGAACATTTCCAGATCAATTTGCAAAACAACAAAGCGGTTAACACATGAACACTTGTATTCTTTCCTGTTACAGTCTATCTCTAGTTTTCTTTCCTCCAGATAACGCATACACTTTGTAACAAAGGCTATACTACAAATGTTGAAATAGCAGGTTAAAAACAAAACATGAAAATATGAGATGAGAAACTCAACCACCGAACCAGTAACACAGCATATTATGAATCTAAATTGTCAAAAAGTTCACTTGACTAATTTAAACACTGAAGATGTCGAGTTGGTTTTTCTTTTGCTCTGTTTTGTAAATGTGTGCTCTTTTTGTATTTTTATGATGTGATATGCTTAACAATAACTTGAGTGCAGCATATTAACAAACTGGTTTCCTTTAGTACAGAATTAGGAGACGCATATACCCCAGAGGGTATTGATACTCAAAGGCCGTGAGTTATAATTGTATGGCTAGTGTAACTTGGGACAAAAACTCTTCAGAGTAGAATTCATGTTTTTCACTGACGCAGTATATGTGTTCTGCCAGTATATAATACTGCACTGAGGGCTAAGGACGATATTCCTGTCTGCATTCACTAACTTGGAAAACGGAGAGGTTTTCATATTATTGCTCCTGTCTGCTCTAAGTATTAGTCTGCCTGAAGAAGAAGGAAAAGTTAAAGGTAGAAACTCAGAGGCTTGAGAGAAACTCAGGTCATTGAAAGTGAGCAGGGCACCGTTCCGTATTTGCATGCAATTACTGTGCTGAACTGATAGCTCAAAGGAAACATTGTGAAAGTCCCATGATGTTTATCTGCAGTGATGCTCAGATGTAGTTATATTTTAAGTGTTTGTTGATTGTGTATGCTAAGTTTTGCAACATTCAGAACAAGTCTGAGGAAAGTGTTAAAGTTACTTCGGCAGAAGTTTGGTTGGAATCAGTGGGACTTGCTTTTGTGCTTAGCAAGGAGACAGCTAGGGGGCTCCCTGAATCTGCAGGCAAGACAAATGACAATGAATAGTTTAAACTTGGTGTAGTAGCTCTCTGGCTAGCATTTCTCAAGCAAAAATATAAACACAGTTTTGTATTGTTGGGGACGTGTTCTGTTTAGTATTTGCCTAATTGCCACCATAGATCCTAGGATATAAAACCATTCAGGGAAATTGTTCAGAACGTACCTCAGCATAATGTTTTGCAGTTTTAACACACACACCCCTTTCAAGGCCAAAATGGGTACGGTACATCTTTGGATTTAAGGTGCATGTTTTTCTAAAATGCAGATTGCAACTAAAAGTTCTGAAAATTATTATGGGAGGTGTTTAACCCTTGTTCTCCTGAAGAAAATCACAACTTCAAAGCTGCTATTTGCATTGAGGGGAAATTGACATTTGACATCATTAGCTAAGTCCTACTCAGAGAAGGCCTACTGAAATTAATAACCCTGTTAGCCATTCCCATTAACTTTAAGGGGTTAACTCTGAGTAGGAACAGCATTGAACACAATCCACCCGTTATCACCCAGCCCCAGTGGATGCTATTTGCAACTTCAAATGTAGAAGTTAAATGCAATGATGCTTTTAATGTATAGTTTGGCCCCTAAGCACCAAGGATGAAGTGGATATCTTGTAGTGTGACGGGGTGAGCTCCCGTTGTTCAGTCCCAGCTCCTGCCCACCTAGCAGTTCGAAAGCATGTCAAAGTGCAAGTAGATAAATGGGTACCGCTACGACGGGAAGGTAAATGGCGTTTCCGTGTGCTGCTCTGGTTCGCCAGAAGCGGCTTAGTCATGCTGGCCACATGACCCAGAAGCTGTCCGCGGACAAACGCCGGCTCCCTCGGCCTATAGAGCGAGATGAGCGCCGCAACCCCAGAGTCGTCCGCAACTGGACCTAACGGTCAGGGGTACTTTTACCTTTATTTTACCATATGCACTTACTTGGCAGTACGCACCATTGAAAAATAATAAGACTTTCTTCCAAGTACACTTATATACCAAGCTTTATGCAAATTCCTTTTAAAAGCAAGCTATTCTCCTTTGAGTAGCAACTTAGAGTTGGGGGTTGTGAGTGAGATCAGGGATGGGGAGTGAGATCAGGGATTCAGAGACATAGGGAAAGAATAGGAAAGGCTAGGAATGTGGATCAATGCTGGGTGGGGGCATTTTGTTTATGTGCTGTGACATTTGCTGGAGTTCAGCATGAGGTGGCAGACATTTTGAAGACCTCCTTGTTCACCATAAATAGTTGGTCTCGTTATACATTCACACTCAGAAGTTCTGCTACAGCTGACCATTACTGCTATGGTCAATCCAGTTTTGCTCAACCTCTGTCTCTCTCTGAAAGCTGATCACCCACCCTATTCCCTTCTGGTATTCTTTGTCAGTGTTGGCTGGCATGGATTGCATGAAACGCCATCATTGTGACTAGAACTTCCCTTGACCATACCTTTTGTATCCTTCATGGCAAAGGTGAGGGTCCTTACCTCCCCTGCTTGCCGCAGGGTGACTTTGACAGTAGGGCAGGACAACCCACAAGTCTTATTACCTGATATCACAACATCATCTACCCATTTCCCCCCCCATGTACACTTTGCAAGCTCCAGTGAAGCACTTGATTGTTGGGGGCTGACAAGTGGAGCGCATGGAGCTTTTAGCAGGGCTTTGTGGGTGCCGATGATCAGCTGATTGGCAATGCCTTCATAACCCACCTTGGGCCTAGTCACATCTTCACTTGCCATACACCTGGCTTGGCCAAACAGCCTGGCGCGCCACATTAGGCCTGTGGTCCTCAAGATTCTCCACCACTGGTGGTGGGGGAAATCTATAGAGAGAGTCAATTAAAGGGTTGAGTTTGTTTGTTTGTTTGTTTGTTTGTTTGTTTGTTCTCTGAGGGAGAGAACACACAGACATTTGCATTCCAACTCTGTCTCATATGCCAGAGAAGAGAGTCCAGGTTTGTTCCTTGAGTGTCTAGACTAACTTTTTTTTCCTGACATGCTAGTTGTGTGTGAGAAAGCAGCCGTTTTTATGTGGAGGGAGGATTCAGACGCTTGGTATCCCATATTTAAGAGGGAAATCAACACCCAGCAAACAATTTCTGCCCATTTGTTTTCAGGCTTTGTAAACTGGCACACTGTAAGGGCCCTGCGTTGTCCTGAATTCTGCTTAGGAGTTAAGTAAGCTGCCAAGGAACGCATGGCTATTTTCAGACCCAGCAGGGAAGCTGCCCATGCAGCAGCGGCAGCAGAGGAGACGTCAGGGCAAGTGATCCACTGACTGAGTTCATAACTCTCCCAGCTGCCTCCTCAACCCCAGTGAGTGGCAATCGATCAAGCCACTGGACCTCATGAATGATGCTTCCTTGCTGCAGAAGATCCCATCCTCCACCCTCACACCCTTGCTTGCTGAATAACATTTGGAGAAATGTATGAAGAATTAATTGCGGCTTTACAGATGTCGCCTAGTAAGAGAAGAGGTTGAAAACGGGGTGCAGAGGGAGAAAAAAGAATGGATGCATTCAAAATGCAGGGCAGCTTTATGATACAGATTCTCTCTCTCTTTCTCTCTCCCCCCCCCCCCCGTTTTCCCTCTTTCCTCTCCTCTTTCTTCTCCCCCCCCCCCCAACAACTACTCGTATGCTGGTCAAAAGACAGGCCTGATAAAGTGAGAGGAAACAAGATTGGTTTTCTAAGGGCACCAGGCCCTTCATGATCAGCTAAATCATAGAATGTCTCACTCCCTGGCTGGGTAATGACCTGCTCCCTGCGCCGTGGCACCTGCACCCCCCTGTGGGACATTATGATGTGCACCTAGGCAACTGCAGGGGGCTGCGCTGAAGGTGAAGCTGTCATATCGATCTTTTTAGCTCTAAAATATGAGCCACTTTACTCCGCTCCCTGATGCTGTGATGTGAAAAATAATAACTCGGATCCAAATTAAAAATATTGATCTCTGGAAGGTGTTGAAAGTAAATAAACACCTTCCGAAGTTTTCGGGTCAGCCGAGAAATGGTATTCAGCAATAAATGTGTCGGCGTGTCAGAATCCAGGGTTCTTGATCTGTTTTTCCTTTTGAATTGATTTTTCATTATTTACTTCCTAAAAGTGTTGGAATTTGGTCCTCCACCGTTAAATCCCAGTGTTCGGGCAAATTATTTCTTTGGGGCTTCTGAGGTGCTCCTAATCCACTCGCTCATTGATTGATTGATTTTTGACTCAATAAACTTGCATTACCCTTGCTTTATTTAAGACTTCCATCATAATTTTTTGTACATTTAGGCTTGACTTTTTTATTTCCCTCTAACAGATGAGCTGACATTGGTCTATCAAACATGTGGGAAAACAATTGCCACAAGGTTAATTTTATTGCTAGCTCCATGCATTTTAAGTAGGTGCCAGGTATTTTCCACTCCCGGCTGATAAATTGCGGTTGAAACCACTAAAGCTTAAGAATGAATGGGAGCACAGTAACTACTACAACAAAAATTCACTTATATAAATGCATCGGCGAGCAAAAAAGCGGGGAAAGGGACATTTTATTTTGGCGGTCTATTTTTTTTTAAGCGTCCAAGTTGTTGTTTTTTAAAAAAGGCCTTTTGTAATAAACCACTTAACTATAATGTTATTGATGCCGTAATGTCTCGGTGTGATGGATATGGTTGTGTATTATTAATCGTTGTGAAAGAATTCTGCAATTTGTTTTAATAGGTATTTTCCTCTGGCTCTAACAAGTCAACTCCCCCCCCCCCACACACATACTGAGAATTCTTTTGCTTGTTATCAAAGCACTGAGACTGCCCTATTTCTTGACAAACTCACACATGGTGGTTTTGGTGACTTAAAAATTCTTTGTGGGTTCTTGCATGGTGCTTGGAGCTGGAGGAGTGCTTTTTTGGAATGAATTTTGTGAGATTTTGAACAAGAAGTGACTTGGATTGGAGTTAATTGTTTGTGGTTCTTGTCTTGCTCATTCTTTTGGAATTCAGATTCATCAGGGTGCTGGAATCTTACTAGAATACTGTTCATGGGAAGTTTCTAGGAAGTGAATATTTCTGTTTTTCATATTGAATAATATTAATGCTTATATATAATGAATCCTTTTAAATTTGCTCTTCAAGCTGTGTGAGAAGAGTTCCTTGGTTTCTGGCCACCTATTATGGGTAATGGAGAAATAGCAGGTGCTCTCATCAGAGTAGAGCAGGGATATCCCAACAAGTTGATCACGGGGTATCCCTGGACAATTGCGGGGACACTCCCCCCTCCCCCTGGAAAAGGAAAAGGGGGGGGGCTCAACAACTCACAACTCTGGCTCCATAAAAAAAAGCTCAACAACTCTGGTCAATGCAACAATGGGTAGATCACTGCCACTGTTTTTTTAGTGGGAGTAGCTCGCAGTCTCTCGGAAGTTGGACATCCCTGGAATAGAGGAATCTGCAGTGTTCAACAATATATAAATACTTTAAATGAGTACATAATTCGGAGTAGGTTTGTTTGTAACATGAATCCTAACTCTGTGGGTTTTTTAAAAATCTAACTTTCCAAAGCCATAGAGTCCTGTGTTCCATTTTAAACCATTCCCTGTCTGGAAAGTAGGGAATGAGAAACCAGAAGGGCAAATGGGAAGCATTTATACCCCAGGTTAGGGAGCTTGTAGTTGGGCTGAAACTCCCATGATTCCATTGGCTGGGGCTGATGAAAGTTGGAATACAGCAACACCAGGAGGGCCACACCCTTGATATATACAACAGAATTTCACCCCAAATAATGTGTGGATTGCGCTGTGGTTTAAACTACAGAGCCTAGGGCTTGCCGATCAAAAGGTCGGCAATTTGAATCCCCCCGACGGGGTGAGCTCCCGTTGCTTGGTTCCTGCTCCTGCCAACCTAGCAGTTCGAAAGCACGTCAAAGTGCAAGTAGATAAATAGGTACCGCTCCGGCGGAAAGGTAAACGGCGTTTCCGTTCGCCGCTCTGGTTCGCCAGAAGCGGCTTAGTCATGCTGGCCACATGACCCAGAAGCTGTACCCCGGCTCCCTCGGCCAGTAAAGCGAGATGAGTGCCACAACCCCAGAGTCATCCATGACTGGACCTAGTGGTCAGGAGTCCCTTTACCTGTACCTTTATGTTGTTTTCACTAATACATGCATTTTTATCGCACTTTCTCCCATTATGTGGATTTTTTGTACACATTGCTTTGCTGCAGTGGTGTTACAAAATTTGGAGCAGTCTGATTTTGGAAGGATGGGTGTGTTTCAGTTTTTGAATTGTTTTAAAATCTGCCTACCTTGCAGCGTTTGTGGAAGCGTCTTGGAGACTTAGATCTAGCTATGTGATTTTTTGAATTCCGGTGCACATTTGTGCCTATTGTAATTTTTGCGTTCCTTGAATTTATTCCCGTTCTATTGGAAATGTATGTAGCATTTAAGAGGCGGCTGTCCATTCTGCAAAGACAACAAATGCAAATGCCAGTAGACTTAATCCTTCCGAAACCTGAAGAACTACTAAATATTTGCTCTGGCAGATAAATGGACAGTGAAGGGAGAAAATCGTGTTCTTATACGGCACACTTAGGAATAATTATTAGGCAATTCCCATTGCTTTCACATGTTTTTAGAAATATAAATATGCGATTTACAGGTGGTTCAACAAATTAATGTGCAGAAGATAAAAGCCCTTATTATACTGAGCAGATTTTCAGGCTTCTGAATTACTGCGGTCTGGTTTATGACTCGAGAGAGCGAGCTGAAATAATGCGTATAATATATAATCAGGAAGCTGGTAATCATAAATAAGGGGTCACTGAAGAGGCATGTTAGATGGTATTGGAGCCTACTGAACATAGTCTGGTATAGGAGGCAAACATACACTGACAGGAAGGAGCAGGACTGCTTTGCAAGACCCATGCAATGAACAATTAATTGAAAGTTATGGACGTTAGCGATATTTCGCAAGCCAACTTCACAGCAGTTACACCATGAAATTGCTGGACCTCAATTCGTTATAATGCTGGAAGTCTCTTGCATTCCCAGGTGGCACAAGAAAGAGCTTTGTTTCCAAAGAACTGAAATAAGTGTATTCGTGTTCGAGGGTTTGTTTCTATTTTCTTTTCCTTTCCAAGCAACAATGGCCAAATAGTCTTGCCCCGTGGCCTCTGCGTAGCCTTTGAGTGACAGCTTCCATGTGATCTGAAGCCCCAAAAGTGCAAGGAGACTTTATGTACAGCTCAGTTCCTGCACATGTTCACACTGTACATGCAAATGCCTGCACCAGTGCTAGTCAGTGCATGCAACACTGGGACACAGTCGCTTTGGCACAGCCATGATGGTTTGCACATTGGAAGGGCATATGAGTAGAACTTCTGAGGGTTCAAAATTAGCAGGGTGCCCGGCACATTTTGTGTCTATCCATTTGCGAGCACTTCAAAAGGTCTGGGTGCCTTTTTTTTTTTGCACCTGGCTGAAACTCAAGGATTACTGAAATGCATGTGCTTTGAAGCCTTGAACTGTATGTAGACGATATGTTAAGGAGTTTAACCATAAAGAGAAGAGCGTTTTGAAAAAAACTGAAGTATGGTACCAATATTTTTATTGTAAGCACCAAATTAAACATGTATTGAAAATTTCTGTTAAAAGTGTGGTATTAACAATGTGTAACTTATTTGAATTGCGTACTAGTTCATGATTATCAAAATAATAAATAAAAAGGGTTGCTGACCCACCCCCCAAATGGCGACTAGACATTCTGTTTTGGCACCCACAACCCAGGTCCAATGAGCCATTTGGCTCCTAGCTTTTCTATCCCAGTTCCTAACACTGCTTCTGAGTAAGGCCTTAGGATTGTTGGTTTTGTTCCACCAGTCCCTTGTCACCAGCCATTTCACAAATAGCAAAAAAATATGTAGCTGACAGATTGGTAAGGGCAGTCTGTGTTGTGGACGCACCATATATCAGGGAATAGACAGGAATGACTGAATGATATGTCAGAACACTGGAAGTAGATATTCTGTGGGAAATTCCTTGGCGGGAAATATGTAATATCTTTTGTTCCTGGTTTGTTAGCACTTCTGACAGAAAGTCGTGGCAGCACTGTATCCGAACAGGGGGTTGTTTTTGAATCTAGCTAACCTTGCTTCAGCAACCAGGCAGTTTTCTGGTAGGAGCTGCTCAGAAAAAAACAATAAAATTGGTATGTGTCTCAGATGGCACTAGGAGGCAGTGGCGAATTTAGGGCAGTTCTTGAAGTCACACTGGGCACCCAGCCAAGAAGGGGCGACTTCTCAAAGTCTGGTAAGTGCTTGGCTGGCATCAGGAAGGAGGTCTGAGGGCTCTGACAGGTCCTAGAGCCCTCTTTCCTCCTTCCCAAAGCCGGGCAAGTGCTTACCAGGCAAGTGCTTGCTTTGGGAAGGAAGCGTGAGGGCTCTAGGACCCTACCAGAGCCTCACGCCTCCTTCCCAAAGATTGCCAGCGTTGTGAGGGCATCCAGTGACCTTGCACAGAGCAGCATATTACCCAGGTCCTTGTCTGTAGGAGGACTAGACTGGAGTGAGCAGGAGGGCCAGCATCAAAGTGTTAACGGTTCAGGGAAATAAGCTGGTGCGTAAGTGGCT